GTGTGTGTGTGTGTGTGTGTGTGTGTGTGTGTTTTGACTGAGAAGTAATCACAAGTAGATAATCTGAGGTAAAGAGGTGTAATGACAGCAAGGGAGCACAAGAGGGAGGTATGTCCAAAAACACAAAAACACACATTCTCACAGTAGGGATGCACGAAAAAAAATCATACATCAGAATTGTGGTTCTCATTTACAAAGATTCAGAACTGATTTAAAAATGTCCCAAAATCAATTTTTATAAATGAAACAAAGCAAATCTAAAGGCTGTCAGCCTCCATTTTGTAACTACGGATGTCCTGACGTCATCCTGCAGCTGCTTCTGGAGCATATGAACGAGCAGAACGCACCAAAACAAAGATGAAACTACAAAACTGGAAGAAAGAGCGATTCAACCGGCCCTGTCTTCATTAAATGTTAAGATTTGGGCTCATGTTGTTTTTATTGAATGCGTCTGAGTTTGACCTGAGCGAGGTGTGCAAGGGTTGCAAAATGAAGACGAAGCGCTTTGCGAACACAACAAATGGGCTCACATTATCAGTTTTGAATGAAAAATAGATTTGGAATCGAATCGTGGCCCCAAAAATCAGAATCGAATTGAATCGTGAGAAAGTAAATGATTCCCACCCCTACCATCTGGTTACACGCCTCGCATTGATACAACACGATCAAACTATAAAACAGTTTTTATATTTGTAGATCATTTCAGTAAAGAGATGGATCTTAATTTTCAGCCACAGTTGCTGTCAAGGTTCTGAATAGCTGGGTTTCAGTCACGTGGTTTCGAAGGCGGCGCGATCTCCACCGGAGGGCATGAAGTGAAATATCTATGGAGGAAAGTATTGTAGAGAGTCTGTATTGTACGAATTTAAATCCTATTTCAAGACGGATAACAGCAATTGGTTCACAATTACGTCAGACATAATGAGGATGACGATGAGGAGGACAGAACTTCAGATGGCATCTCTTCGGCTTTTTTCTTTTTCCTCCTCCACCCAAACTTCGCTCTCTCCTGGCACTGCATCTTGACGTCAGCTCTCCTATTAGGTTCAGCTCGTTGTCACTCAAGTCGTTCCATGGCTTTTTGAAGTTACACATAAAGTTGTGTGCCACCCCATTAGAGTCCACTTGGCCTACAGTTACAGAATGAGGAAGCAGTGATGACTTGAAGGTAAAGCAGAGATGAAATTAGTGAATTGTTGTGCATTTAATTTTAAAAAAATTCTACCTGAAAGAAGATAATCTTGTCCAATGGCATTGTTCATGAAGGCTCTACACGGCCCAAAAGTGTAGATTGCATTAATATAAGGGCCTCTGAACACCTGGGAGGAGAAACACACACAAATACTGAAAAACAAATCACATTTTGTTGATGAACTTAAACAGATTATTTTAACTTGTACCTTAAAAGGGAAGATGTTATATTTGGTACTACTCATAGTGCCACTGCCAACCTCCTCACTTCCTGTGATTGATGCCCGGATGACTACAAAACACAAACCTCACATTAACAGAATATATACTGTAGGTTTAACATGTTAGAGATGACAGAAACATGTTGCTGAATCTTGAATCTCAAAGGCCTGTGTGTCAGGAAGACAGAGGGAACATTAGAGTTTCATTAGCTGCAACCACTTCCTAGTGCTTAAATGTTACCACTACGTTATTAATTTTTTTTT